TAATTTATGGCCCACACAATAGAGCACCTTTTAAATACCTTAAGCTTATTTGACCACCCTTTGAAGTACCTGACAATAGCATTAAGAAGGATATGCACTGGACCCTGTTATACCTGATACATACCTATAGTTGTGGTTCGGGTTCAAACTAGGTAATTGTAATAACGGCATTTATTGAACAATAAATTAATGATTTTATTTTTAATAGCTCTTTAATATTTTTACTACAAGCCGCATATGAACATTTAATCTCTGCAATTGAATTAGAATTTATTAACCCATCTGGAGAAGCTCCTAAAAATTTTTTTCAAATTTGTTAGAGCTTCAAATTTTTCTTTGGCCTTTTCTTCATTGTCAATAGCAAATTATATAGACTTGGGCAATTTTTTCATAAAGTTTTATCGGAATGCACAATACTTTTAACGGTATTTGCGATGTTAATTCCGTCTCTCATTTTGTCCTTTCTTTACTCCATTCCCTACACATTCGCTGACCACAAGTATAGTGAACCAAGAGTTATAAGGTTATATGGCCATCATAAAATCATCCCATTGTGTCGAAGTTAAGTTGTTTACAATAGAAAAGGTTTTAGGGTCGTAAATAACGTGTCCATTGCAGCTCGACCGGCTCTTGTGGTTTCGTTCAGGGGCGGCTTTCACTAAATATGAAAATCCACCACTCCACTATTTCTTTACTACCTGCAGCCGCTGAGGGTTCCGAAATAACCACTCGCTTTGAAAGCCGGCCCTGTTAAATATGAGCAAGAAATGTTTAGAAGATGATTTATTGCCAACCGGTAAGCTTAGTGCGAACCACACAAAGGGGGTATTTATTTGCGGTCAACTACTTTTATGATGGCCATATAACCTTATAGGTCTTGGTTCACTATACCTTTTTCAATAGCGTTTACGTTACTCTGTGACAGCTTTATTAATGAATCCGATTTTTTTCTTTCATACACTTCAGGTAATATATCTGCAGTTTTCGTTTGTTCATCATTGACGATATTATTTTTACCGGAATCCAGACTTCGGATACGCAATTTTTTAATGGAGGTTTCAGTTTTATTTATCGTTTTTGTTTTTTTCAATTTTTGTTCCACAAACGCCTTCGTATACTAACATTGGCCTCCCCAATTTTTTTTTTTTAATAACGGAATTAGGAACGTACCCTTATTATTATAACTTAATGCCGCAGCAAAGCATCACCCTTGATACGATCCTCGTGCAGAAAAACTTAAAAACTTATTCTTTTTCCTCCCACAAATTTATTAACGACAGAATTGTAGCATTCCACAGCATTGTTCTCAATATCAAAAAGTAAACTAGACGACGAAGTTGCAATTCTATTTAAAACTTGTTTGTAAGGTTCGTATAAAACACCATTTGCGAAAGTAGAAAATAAAATATCATTTGACTGTCCACTTTTATAACAAAAATAACTTGCACATTGTTCGTGATTGCCAAATATACGCTGGAAAAGAAGGAAGAGGCTCATTTTTGCTAAATTTAATAGCATTTATAATAGCTGTTCTAAATTTTAGAATACTATTTTTAAAAACATTTTTAATAGTGATATCTGCTTTCGTTGTTTTAACTATTTCTCTAATTTTGGAACAATAATTACGAAGTATGTGATTTCAACATTCAATTTTTTCTATAAAATAATATGCATCATTTAGTTTTGCAGCCCGAACTTTTTTTAATACGCTACTATCCTCGTCGCCTATAATTCTCCTATAAAGTATCTAAAGTAAATCCCTCTGAAACTTCCATGGACATAGATGTTTGCTCACAGTTTTTAAAACATGTATGTGTTGGAATTTCTTTTTTCTGTTTCATATAGATTTTACAGAAACTACAAGGTTTGTTTTTGACTCCTACATAAAGTATTTTTTTAGTTCTGGCACCAATTATACCTCCTACCCCAGACAGTGCATTGTAACGGTAGTATATGGGACGCAATCATTATCTACCTCCCTCGCCTTCACAGCTAATCGGTACTCTTCTTTACCTGCGTTTTGGTTTTGTTAAAATTGTGTTATTTTGGTACCAATTCTCCTGGTTAAAGTCATCTAGTGATTTTACTCTCTGTATGTTTTAATAGCGCCATCTGTCATTGTAGATATATACAAGTAAATCCTGTTCCAGAATGTTCCTTCATTTTTTCATTGTTCAAATATAGTCAGTCATAATTTGTAGTTCAACGAAGTGTTTTATTTGCCCTAGTTCAACAGGTTTGTTCTTCGAAAAGTGCTTCGATGCTCTTTAGAACTCTAGCCTCGGCTTTACGATATGTCGCCTGGGGTATTTGAGGCATATCTAGAGCTGAACAAAATTCTGAAATTTGAGAATAACCTACGCCCATTGATCTAGCTCCACAAATAGCTGCATAATTGACTTTGTATATATGATTTTCAGGTTCAGTACAAAGATTACCGAATATTCCGTACATATGAAATTTGTAGTAGAAAACAATTTTTAAACGATAACAATTTTCATGAGTTATTTCAATATTATCTAAAGTACTGATTGATTTCAGTGTTGTTAATAAGTGGCCTATGTCAACAATTCTACGTCCAGTACTAATTTCTCGACGTGTCATGACCTCTAGAGTACGAAAAAAGTGGTCTCGCGTTTTCGTATGTCCGTCTGTCTATCTGTCTGTCTGGTGTCTGTATCCATTTTTTATTAGACAAGTGTTCTCCGAAACTACTGGATCGATTATTGTCATATTTTATATGTATATTAGAAATATCATGTAGATGGTTAAACGCTAACTAAAATTTGGCAAATCATCTCCACCACCAATGGTATGACGTCATCTCCAAAATTTATAATACAAAGTTTTTTAAATTTGATAAAATTAGATACTCCTGCACTTGTGGTGTGTAAATCCGTGTAGAATTTTCACCCTAGACATCTAGAATTTTTGGACAAAATTTTAACATATCCGGGTTCTCATAAAAAAAAAATAAAATTCGCATAATCAAATTTTATAATTTTTCGAAAAAACTGTGTTTGTTTTATTGTATTTCAGAGGCGAGAGAAGTTCTTCCACCAATTTGCTTCATTCAAAATACATTCCGAGAGGTAACTAGGTATGTACCTACCTAAATTTCTAAGATTTCGGGTTGAAAAATTCCAAGATTACTAAGAAATACTCACAATGACGAACCTTCGTACCTACAATAAAATATTCTTGGAAATTTAATTTTACTTTTCTACCTACTTACAGAATATGCCCAACACGTACGAATTTTTATAGAAACAGGAATTTAAAAATAAGAGGAAGAATTATGGTCGGAATTATATATATGAACAAGCATTTTTTTGTTGTGTGTATTGCGAGTAAAGATCTCAACAGTCTCTGACAATGATTTTATTAATTTATTTTAAAACACACATTTGGCTTTTTTCTTTTCTTATGATAGTAAATTAGGTTAAACCGCATATCAAAAATTCTCTTTCAAGGGACTTTATGCTAAAAAAAGGTAGGAGGTGCCATTTAAAATATTATCGATGACGTCATACACCTGTCAAATATCGCTCAAAACTTTTGAAACTAATATTACAAAATGGCAATTTTTATATAGTGAACCAAGAGCTATAAGGTTATATGGCCATCATAAAATCATCCCATTGTGTCGAAGTTAAGTTGTTTACAATAGAAAAGGTTTTAGGGTCGTAAATAACGAGTCCACTACAGCTCGACCGGCTCTTGCGGTTTGGTTCAGGGGCGGCTTTCACTAAATATGAAAATCCACCACTCTACTATTTCTTTGCTACCTGCAGCCGCTAAGGGTTCCGAAATAACCACTCGCTTTGAAAGCCGGCCCTGTTAAATATGAGCAAGAAATGTTTAGAAGATGATTTATTGCCAACCGGTAAGCTTAGTGCGAATCACACAAAGGGGGTATTTATTTACGGTCAACTAATTTTATGATGGCCATATAACCTTATACCTCTTGGTTCACTATATATCAGTAGACGTGTTTTTGCGTTTTTACTTCTCTAACGTAAGCTAAGAAATATTGTTTGTTTTCTTTCATAGTAGATAAATATTTTAGTTCCTTACTCTGCTCTACCTGCAAGTTGGGATACACTTCGCCCGCTGACAATAGCAGTAATAAAACTAGTTACTTATTGTAAACGAAGTAAACGATTTTAACCCTTAGAGATGAGTGGCAGCTGTCATAACGAGGTAGCATGGGTGTTTTACAAGTTGCATATCTTTTAAAATAGAAATTTTCTTGAGGTGTGGTAGAGCCTTAAACGGAACCAGCAATTCTTCCTAAAATGTATATACCTCCCGCACCGGGATAGACGATTACCGGACATGGTCATAAAAACAAGCCGATATTGAAGAATAATAATTTATGACAGGTTGCCGACAACAGACCTTCAGCACAGAATAATGATTTCCGGTATTCTTTTGAAATATTAATTTTAATGCTGGAGATAATTATTAGATATACTCAAACACAATTTGGACACTGTAGTATGGGAATAAAAACAAAAAAAAAAAAAATCTTTTTAATCGTACGTAATAAATATTGCACAATTTGCGACACATCAAACAGCGAAGCGATGGCCTATTTGCACGAAAAAAGAAAAGATTTTTCAGTCTTGATAACTATGCTACATTAAAATGTTTATTTTTTAAATTTAATACCACAATCCCTTCTTCTGCACCTGTGGAACGGGTGTTTAGTAGTGGAAACCAAATTCTGACACCAAGAAGAAATAATGTAGGCGACAATACGTTCGAAATGTTGTTAATTTAAAAAAATTCATTAAAGAATACATAAAAAAATATTTACATAAACATGTTTTCAGTTATTTTATTCGCCAAAGCTTCAAAAAGTATCTGTTTTCTTGTATCCGTGTCTAGATACATTTCGAAAAAATCGAAAACAATCTGTATCTAGATACTTTTAAAAGTATCTGTCCCCAACACTGGTTGTACTATATTACAAAACTCAGCACAATTTATTATAGCATGCGGTCGAAAGCCAACTAATTTTTCTTCCACGAAGAGAAATGTTTACCCATGGCACGTGTCTATATATAACGTACAAAAAGAACCTGCTTGTAGTGGATCTCTCCTAAGCCAAAAACTTATACTCACAAGTAAGACTCACGCCTTGACTATAATTTTCACAACCTCACAATTTTAGTTGGAGATTGCGTCACTGATCTCACAGGAAACTTGATACCTAAGGAATTTTACACCGTAGCTGTTGGAAAAAATTACAAGGAATTCGACGACTTCAGAGACACTGAGGCTCAATTGTCGCAAGTGAATTCAGCCACCAATTATTGTTGTTGGTGAAAAATCATTATTAATTTTAGGTGGATGAAATATTCATACCTACAGTATACGACCGTGACGGTGGATTTGCTAACATTGCTCTTTTAGTTGCAAAAAAAGCGTTCGTTTTGTCGCTGATAGTCCAGCCGGTGTGCTTAGACCTAAGCCAGAGTTACAAACCTTCAGAGAATCAATCCCTTTACGTAAGTTCGGTTGTTTGCCAGCTGATGTTCAACACACAACTGTAATATTTTTCTAGATCAGCAGTTGGGATGTCCAGGACCACAACTCCACCAACGGTTCTAAAGAACTTGTGACTCGGTTTTTTTCGCGTTCGAAGTGTCGTTCTAGTGACTCTACATATTTGCGTTACTTTTTAAAATCAGACCAGCTGTGTGTGCCTTGTCCAAACGATGTCAATTTGAGGGAGCACGAAATAGATAACAAGAAATATTTTGGCGTATCAACCAAGTGCATCTACGAGAAAGGTAGTGGCGTTTTGGTTGAACACGACGACAAGTACTACGTCACTGGTGTTGCTACTTCTGATGTGGCAAGCCCTGATTTGCTAGCCCGGTGTGGTAACGCTGATCTTATTCTTTACACGGATATTTCGGATTATATAAGTACTTTTATTTTAACAAAATTTCAAAAATTAGCAATCAATTAACAAGCTTTTATGTACATATTTATATTTTAGGGTTTTTTGTTAAAATCATTAAATGGGCTTTCTTGGACCTGTAGTGGTTGTTGCTCCCCTCTAATAAAATTTATTTGTATACCCCCTTCCAACAAACTGATGACGTCATCTCAAAATTTTGCCGAATAAATCCTATCCAAAATGTTCAAAATATAATGAGTCTATACTTATGATTTTGCATGAAAAATTTTTAAATGTCTTAGACAGGGTGACTCAAAAATTAATGAACGAGTCAATTTATTTTATTGATTAAATCTGGAATGGCTCAATTTTTGTGTGTATATTAGGAATATTGTGTAGATCGTAAACCTCTGACCGAATTTATGGAAATATTTTAAGGCTTTCAAGGATGCCAAAGAACTATAAGAATTTCAGGAATTTCAAAAAATTAAAAAACGCTAGAGAAGACGGCAATTTAAAAATTGGAAAGATGATAAAAATCCTAAAGATCTAAAAATATTTAAAATTCTAGAGATACTGAAGTATCTAGAAATAATGAAAATCTGAAAGCTCGAAAGGTTATCGAAATTTTATTGGTTCTAAATTCTAGAGATTCAAAATTTCCAGTGGTTTGAAAGATTCAGAAAGTATAAAAGCTTGCACGGATTAAATGCACTAGAAATTGCGAATTGTAAAGACACTTAAGATTCTAAATAAACTAAAGTTATAATGTTCTAAATATAAAAAAGATCTAACAAAATCTTAAAATTTTTTAAAAACTTGGGGGTAGTAATGATCCAAGGCAGAAATTTTAGGCTTTATAAAACTCCTAGTAATTCCCAAAGTGTTCAAAATTTCCATAGATCGGAAAGACCCTAAAGAGTCTAAAAACTAAAGATTTTAAAGGCTCTAAGTACCCTAAGGAGTCAAAAGCTAAAATTATGTTTCGAATACTTGAAAGATTCTAAAGGTTCTAGAGAAGTTACCAAAGCCAAAGATTCTAAAACTTGTAAAAATTCCAAAGACTTTAAAGAAAACAAAAACCTGAAAGACCTAAAAATCGTAAAGATCGGAAAAATGCTTTCTTTAATTTTTATAAATCCCAAAAGCACTGAAAACCTTGAACACCTCAATTATTATCTCATAAATCTTGGAGACTGTAGAGATTCCAGAGATTCCAAAAATTCCAAAGATTTAGACTCTTAAGATCTATAAATTTTAGAAAATCTTAAAAAGTTTAGAAAGAGTGGGAAAAATGTGGTAGACCTAGAAATCTTGAAAATACTGGAAAAGGTTGAATTTCAAGATTGTGGTATAACTGGAACCAGATAATTTTAGAAATTTTGGAAAATGAGGAAATTCAGGTCATTTTGTGTACTTTGGAAAATCTAAAAAATTGGGCTAATCTGGAAAGTCCGAACATTCTAGAAATTTTGAAAATTTTGCAAATACGAAGATTTCCAAAAATTAAAAGAAAATAAAAAAATATTCAATCTCAAAATTTCAGAAGTTCGCAAAATCTTAAAATTATAGGGATTCTAAAAATTCTAAAGTTTCCAAATGTTTGAAATATTTAAAAGGCTTCAAACCTTTTGAAATTTCTAAAGACTCGACACATTCTAAAAATCTTGAAGATTCCACAGATTCCGAATATTTAAAAATTGGAAAGATGATAAAAATCCTAAACATCTAAAAATATTTAAAATTCTAGAGATACTGAAGTTTCTAGAAATAATGAAAATTTGAAAGCTCTAAAGGTTATAGAAATTCTATTGGTTCAAAATTCTTGAGATTTTAAAGATTCCAAAATTTCCAGTGGTTTGAAAGATTCAGAAAGTATAAAAGCTTTCAGGGATTACATACACTAGAAATTGCGAATGGTAAAGACACTTAAGATTCTAAATAAACTAAAGTTCTAATGTTCTAAATATAAAACAAATCCAACAAAATCTTAAAAATTTTCAAAAATTTGGGGTTACTAATGATCCTAGGCAGAAATTTTAGGCTTATTAAAACTCCTAGTAATTTTCAAAGTGTTCAAAATTTCCATAGATTGGAAAGACCCTAACGAGTCAAAAGCTAAAATTATGTTTCGAATACCTTAAAGATTTTAAAGGTTCTAGAGAAATTCCCAAAGCCAAAGATTCTAAAACTGGAAATTTTGTAAAATGTGGAAATTCAGGTCATTTTGTGTACTTTCGAAAATTTAAAAAATTGGGCTAATCTGGAAAGCCTGAACATTGTAGGAATTTTGAAAATTTTGCAAATACGAAGATTCCAAAAAATTAAAAGAAAATAAAAAAATATTAAATCTCAAAATTTCAAAAGTTTAGAAAATCTTAAAATTATAGGTATTCTAAAAATTACAAAGTTTCCAAATGTTTGAAATATTTAAAAGGTTTCAAACCTTTCACAATTTCTAAAGACTCGGCACATTCTAAAAATCTTGAAGTTTTCATACACTAGAATTTGCGAATTGTAAAGACACCAAAGATGCTAAATAACTAAAGTTTTAGGTCCTAAATAGAAGAAACATCCAACAAAATCTTAAAAATTGTAAAGACCTTGGAAGTATTGATGTTTCTAGAAATTATAAAAATTATAAACTTTATAAAATTTCTAGTAATTCTCCAATTTTCCAAAAATTCTTAAAACTTTAAGGCTTCTGAAAACTCTAAGGTTCTAAATACGCTAAGGGTCAAACATTAGAAAGGTTTTTAAAATTCTGTCCCAAATATCTCAAAGATTCTATAATTTGTAAAAAACGCATGAACTTTTAACATGACAAAAATTTTAAACATTCCAAAGACTCTAAACAAAGCAAAAATTCTAAAAATCTACAAATCGTAAAAATCTGGAGTATGCTTCCTTTAATTTTTATAAATCCTACACGTATTAGGGGTCTTGAACACCCTAATTATTATCTTATACATCTCAGAGATACTAAAGTTTCCAAAGATTCCAAAAATTTCAAAGATTTAAAGACTCTCGGGGTATATTAATTTTAGAAAACCTGGAAACACCTAGAAAGTGTGAAAAATATGTACTCTTATTATGTTTAAGGTTACTTAATTTTTTTATCAATTTTCTAGAGTTATTTGGTTTCTGTAGTTCGTATTTCTTTCTGTTGAAATCAATAAATATTATTGTTAGTATTACTGTACTGTTGAACATTGAAATGAAGATATCATTTAAAAAATAAATACACCGTCAAAGATAAATCTACGTTTACGCATTGACTTCCAAATCTGTATTTTTAAAAACAAATTCGCACCAAGAAGATAAAACATGCTATAATAATAAATACTAATAGAGTGACCTCCTATAAATGTTATCAATTCGTTTTATTGCCTTTATGTGTTTCCATTCTAAGTTGAATTTGCAACAAAGTGACAATGTGTAGTGTCCTCCAGGTTGTAGTGAAAGTTATTATATTACATAGTTTTCTTTTAGTAAGTAGTTCCACTTGTAATAGTAACCACACCAGAGTACCACGCAGCAACAGGTAACATTACGCTACAAAATAACCTTTCGTGATGAATCCAACCTTTTTTGCCCAGCTGTACTCTTCCACAACACCCACAATTTGGTCGATGGACCATCTACGACGCTTCTACCCAACTGTCTCCTGGAAAGTCAGTACCAGAACGAACAATCTTAGAAATAAGTTGCAACAAGAAATATAGACTAGACGGTGATGATTTCACTACTTGTATCCGAGGGACGTGGAAACCCGAAATTGGACACTGTTTACGTAACACTTCTCCATATTAAAAAATTTTTCTTGAAAAACGTTTTCAGAGACGTGCCCCACGATAAGCAACACTTTGGCGATGACAGTAACTTGCAGCCGTAACTTCCAAACACTGAAATCTTGTGCCAATGTTTTTGACAACACAATGGCTCGCTTTCATTGTGCTCGCTATTTCGAGTTCCAGACTCTGGAGGCAGGCCCGGTTCGACTGTGCTCCAACGGGAACTGGGTTGGGAGTTTACCCACGTGCGTACCCAGTAAGTTTTGACGTAAATATTGTTACGCATTTTGACTTTGCATCATTTTTAGTATGCGGCCAACCGTCTCCTGTAGTAGATCCTACATTAATTGTTGGAGGAACTGAAGCCGAAAGAGGCAAATATCCATGGCAGATCGCTTTGTATGACGCTAAGAGCAAAATCTTACTTTGTGGTGGGACCCTATTGAATCAAAGAGTCGTCTTAACAGGTAAAGTTATGCATCAAAGACGCAGAACGATTATCATCTCGTGATAATGTTGTAGCGGCACATTGTATAACAGATGGTAAGGCTCAACTAGCACCAAAAGAAAATTATATAGTGGCAGCTGGAAAATATTTTCTGCGGTACGATCATCCCGACGATGCTAACAACACACAGTTTTCTTCTGTAGGTTACTATGCGTGCAAAACTGTGACCCTTGTTTTTATTCTTAGGTACTCGAAATGTTTATTCCGGTGAGGTATAAAGGACACGCTCGACAGTATGCTGACGATATTGCGATTATAATCACGACACAAATCTTTGATCTTTCTATCAACGTTCGACCTATATGTGTCATATGGGAGATGTCACGATATAAAGAGCTATTAGACTCTACTAAAACAAAACGTGCTTATGTAATCGTGGTTTGTATTAGAAATTTGATTTTGAGCTTGCAATTTCTTGTAGGTGAGCGGTTGGGGTTACACTCGTGAGTTCACAGGTCGTCCTGATGTTCTCAAAGAGTTAGAAGTTCCTCTCATTAGTGATCAGCAATGCATTGAGGGACTACCCGAAGACGATACCGAATATGTGACTGGCGATAAGTTCTGTGCTGGTTTTTTAAATTCAAGTACTCATTTTAATGTCTTGGAATCACAACTAAGGCTGAAATTTTAGGTACTTCTGTGTGTAAAGGTGACAGTGGTGGAGGTCTAGTAACCAAACGTGACAAACGCTATTACATTATTGGAATTGTGAGTCTTTCACCTCGAGGAAATTCACAACATGGTGGCTGCAACAGCCAACTATACACTCTTTATACCAAATTTTCCTCCCACATTGACTTTGTACTAGAGAACGAAGCCAAATTTAGACCGTGAGTTCTAAAACCTTAATAAGTAAGCTCTTAACTCGTTTTTAAATGTAGTCGTTTCGATTGTCCAGTTATTTCGGATTGTAACAATATCACACTGACTACGGAGGCGCCACCAACAACAATTGCAACAGTTACAAACTCGTCAAACGGGTAAAAGACACTTTTGGTTCAAGGGATGGTATTTATAATTTTAACGATTTTAATTTGAGTAGTGGCTGCATTTTACCGAATCATCCAGAATTTGGCAAATGGAGCGTTCCCGGATCAAAGACACTTCAACCTGGAGTGTTAGTAGCAACAGGAACTCGTCTCAACGTACAGTGTGACAAACATTTCAAACGTGAAGGTCCGCGGGTGATAAGTTGTAGGAACAGCAAGTGGTCCCGGGTTCCAAAATGTCTGAGTATGTGTTTTTCTTATGTTGTTATTGTAGTGTTGACGAAATTAATTGGTTTTGTTTTGATTAAGATTTAAAAAAAAATCAGTATCCCTACAGAATGCCTTGACGTATTATGTCGTTTTTAAGAGTGTCAAGTTAGAAAGATATATACAGGGTTGCTGGAATGAATGGAAACGGTTATATCTTGAGAACCAATTGTACAAATCACCTGAAATTAATATCCGTTCACGATCTTTATATAGTAGGGTTGGCCATGAAAATCTAGTGAGTTTGTTGGTATTCGATGCAGAAGAATACAAATTCCCTGAACTTTCTATAAATCGCCCACACTTCTTAGAAATCGAAATTTCGACCTTTGTGAACAGCCTATTTCCATATCTTCCAACTTCTTTTTTCACTTTTCTAAGATTACTAAAAGGGTTGGTAGAAGACAACCAGCACTAGTGCTCTAGTGCTTTGATGGGTTTAGCTCTTCTGAAACATTTTTCCGGTCTTAAATTGAATGATTTATCTATATAGCCATTACTAATGCTTAGATAGTGATGTTTTTAAATTTTGGTACCCTCTTGATAAAATTTTCGCCACAGGTGATGTTCCCACCTATGAGAAAAAAATAAAAAAATACAGCGTATTTTTACATTACAGAAAATATGTTCGAGACCCTAATAGTTACTTTTTCGACAGAAAGATCGGGCCTGTCTTTTCGAAACTGCAAAAAACATCTTTTTATTGCAATTTTTTGTTGCAGTAAAACTATTTTAGACATTTTCTTTTTAAATAATGTCACAATGACAAATTATCTATGCTGACAAAATTAAAATATTTGTTTGCTTGAATAAAAAATTGCGTCTAATAATTCTGATCTAATAAATGAAGTCCCTGAATTTTTTCAGAATTTTTAGACGAGATGTTTAAAAGTGAAAATTTTCCAATGGTCCCCCCTTCTTCAAATTTCGCCGAAATTTTGACATTTTCGAAACCTAACTGAGTACATTTTCTTGTAAATTTCGAGTCCTAGAACTCACTTCCGGCCTCGATTCTTTGATAGCTGAAACCGTTTTTCCAGAATCGAAGGTTGAAATATCGAAATTTTTGAAATTTCGGTAAATTAGGCATTTCGTGCCGATTTCTTCGAAAATGTCGATCCGCGACCATCAACAGGCCATGTTTTTGGGATCAGCACGTCGAGATCTACGTCCCTGATTTTTTTCAGAATTTTTAGGCGAGATGTTTAAAAGTGAAAATTTTCCAATGGTCCCCCCTTCTTCAAATTTCGCCGAAATTTTGACATTTTCGAAACCTAACTGAGTACATTTTCTTGTAGATTTCGAGCCCTAGAACTCACTTCCGGCCTCGATTCTTTGATAGCTGCAACCGTTTTTCCAGAATCGAAGGTTGAAATATCGAAATTTTTGAAATTTCAATTAATTAGGCATTTCATACCGATTTCTTCGAAAATGTCGCTCCGCGACCATCAACAAGCCATATTTTTGGGATCAGCACGTCGAGATCTACGTCCCTGAATTTTTTCAGAATTTTTAGACGAGATGTTTAAAAGTGAAAATTTTCCAATGGTTCCCCCTTCTTCAAATTTCGCCGAAATTTTGACATTTTCGAAACCTAACTGAGTACATTTTCTTGTACATTTGGAGCCCTAGAACTCACTTCCGGCCTCGATTCTTTGATTGTTGCAACCGTTTTTCCAGAATCGAAGGTTGAAATATCGAAATTTTTGAAATTTCGATAAATTAGGCATTTCGTACCGATTTCTTCGAAAATGTCGCTCCGCGACCATCAACAGGCCATATTTTTGGGATCAGCACGTCGAGATCTACGTCCCTGAATTTTTTCATAATTTTTAGACGAGATGTTTAAAATTGAAAATTTTCCAATGGTCCCCCCTTCTTCAAATTTCGCCGAAATTTTGACATTTTCGAAACCTAACTGAGTACATTTTCTTGTAGATTTCGAGCCGCAGAACTCACTTTCGGCCTCGGTTCTTCGATAGCTGCAACCGTTTTTCCAGAACCGACGGTTGAAATATCGAAATTTTTTTAATTTCGATAAATTAGGCATTTCGTACCGATTTCTTCGAAAATGTCGCTTCGCGACTATCAACAGGCCATATTTTTGGGATCAACACGTCGAGATCTACGTCCCTGAATTTTTTTAGAATTTTTAGACGAGGTGTTTAAAAGTGAAAATTTTCCAATGGTCCCCCCTTCTTCAAATTTCGCGGAAATTTTGACATTTTCGAAACCTAACTGAGTACATGTTCTTGTAGATTTCGAGCCCTAGAACTCACTTCCGGCCTCGATTCTTTAATAGCTGCAACACTTTTTCCAGGATCGACGGTTGAAATATCGAAATTTTTGAAATTTCGATAAATTACGCATTTCGTAGCGATTTCTTCGAAAATGTCGCTCCGCGACCATCAACAGGCCATATTTTTTGGGATCAGCACGTCGAGATCTACGTCCCTGAATTTTTTCAGAATTTTTAGACGAGGTGTGAAAAGTGAAAATTTTCCAATGGTTCTTCAAATTTCGCGGAAATTTTAACATTTTCGAAACCTAACTGAGTACATTTTCTTGTAGATTTCGAGCCCTAGAACTCACTTCATTAGGCATTTCGTACCGGAAAAGTGGCAATCCAGCTTAAAGCAAATGTCAATCAGACTACTGACAGACAAAAAACTAAATCATGAAATCAGTTTATCCAACTTAAAGAAAAAATATCAAAGCCTAGTTTACCATATAAAGATCGTGAGTGGATAATAAAGTATGTAATATTCGTTCGCAAAACTCCCGCACTGTCAAAATGACATTGTGTTGGTATGAGAAATAATCCCCTAAAAGATTTTTAAGTTTAAATGATTACCGCCTTGAATTTCAAATTTTCAAAATTAATGTCTATATAGTATTTGAAAAATCAAATGTTTATTAACAATTTTACATTTTTGAGTTGCTGAAGTGTTGAATCTGTTTAAAGGACTTGTCAGTAATTCAAACAAATTGTAGCACCAGAAGGGTAGAAATGGACAGTAAGGTCAAAAATATATATTATTCAAAAGAAGCCTTCGCTGTCGTTCGTGTGTCATACTCTTTCGTTATTTGAATTGATAAAAATCTTCAGTTAATGTGCTTTTGACATTTTTATTTGAGAAGTTATTTTTAGTTACTAATTTGCCACTAGATTGCAATTTTGCAACATATTGTACAGGTTTTTCGCATCTCACCACTCATGACACTCAGGTCATTTTTTCCAAATCTGACACTGACAGTGCGGGAGTTTTACGAACGGATATTATTTCTACAGTACTTCAAAAAAATCGACAAACTGTCAAAAACATCGACATCGGTTCAAATTCCTCTGTTGATGAAGAATTTCAAATAAATAATATTATCGACATCTTCAATACCTCTTCGTCAGCTTATGAACCAAGAATGTTCATTACGGTACAAATTTTTGGCAAACCAGTTAAATTTGAGTGTGATACCGGCAGTCCAGTCAGCAGTATTTCAAAGAAAATCTTGGATGCATTGAATCTTAAAGTGACTCAAAAATCGAAAATTTAGAAACATAAACATCTATTTTCTCGATATTTTTAAAAATCAAATAATTGGAAAAATTGTAAAATTAAAAAATCGAAAGTTTTTTTGAGTTGCCCAGAGAAATCAAAAATCGAAAGACAGATTAAAAAATTGAAAATTTAAAAGCCGAGATATAGAAAAATCTAGCCGTACTCGCTACGAAAGGAGTGATTTTCGCAAATGATCTATTCTCTAAGAACACAAAGGGCGGGTGGGTGGGGCTAGCACTTGCCAAATAACCTACCCTCTAAGAAAATAAAAGGCTAGTTTTTGCCAAAAAAAACTCATTTTGGCCAATGACCTACTCTTCCAATAAGAGATCTAGCCCCGTCCACCCACCCTTGATTTTCTTAGAAGAATAAGTCATCTGCCAAAATCAGTCTTATCTTGGCAAGTACTAGCCCCGCCCACCCACCCTTATTTTCTTAGAGGATATGCCATCTGCCAAAATCAGTCTTATCTTGGCAACTGTGAAACTGATTTTTGCAAATGACATATTCTCTACGAAAATAAGGGTGGGTGGGTGGGGTTAGTACTTGTCAAGATAATACTGATTTAGGCAGATAACCCATTCTTCTAAGAAAATAAAGGGTGGGTGGGCGGGGCTAGTACTTGTCAAGATGAAACTGATTATGGTAAATGACATATCCTCTAAGAAAATAAGGGAGGGTGGGCGGGGAGCTAGTACTTGCCAAGATAAGACTAATTTTGGCAGATGACTTATTCTTCTAAGAAAATAAAGGCTGGGTGGGTGGGGCTAGTACTTGCTAAAAATAAAAAAATGACAAATTGAAAAATCGAAAAATTATACAACTGTATAATCGGAAAATCAAAAACTGAAATATCGAAAAATTGAAAAAAAAACATCTTATAAAATCGAATTCGAAATTCCAGTTTTCATTTTTTTTTAGTTTTCAGATTTTTCAACTTTTGAATATCTCATTTGATTGACAGTTTTGCAGTTTTTAATTCCAATCTTTTGATTTTTCAAGTTATAACTTTACAATTTCGGATTTTTTTTTTAATTTTTCAAGTTCTCAAGTTAAACTTTTTCCATTTCACGATTTGTCATTTTTCGATTTTTTAATTAAAATTTTGAAAAACCGAAAAATCCAAAAATTGTAAAATTAGAATTTGATTTTCGGATTATACAGTTTTACAATTTTACAATTTCTCATTTATCCGATTTTTCAATTTGTCATTTGTTAATTTTTTAATTTTTTATTTTTAGCAAGTACTAGCCCCACCTACCCAGCCTTTATTTTCTTAGAGGAACAAGTCATTTGCCAAAATCAGTCTCTTCTTGACAAGTACTAGCCCCGCCCACCCACCCCTATTTTCTTAGAGGAAATGTCATTTGCAAAGATCAGGCTGATACTTGCCAAGATAAGACTGATTTTGGCAGATGACCTACTCTTCTAAGAAAATAAAGGGTGGGTGGGCGGAGCTAGTATTTTTTCTTAGAAGAGTATGTCATTTGTCAAAATGAGTCTTATTTTGGCAAATACTCGCCTGGTCTTTTATTTTCTTAGAGGGTAGGTTATTTGGCAAGGAATTTCAGTGTATTTTATACTGTTAGTTTGCTGGCAACTTACATATCAATTGTCAAAAAATCCCATTCTCTCACCGGAACCACTATACAAACGTTCAATTTCGTTCCTGTACAAAACAAATATTTAAACTTCTGGGTTACATACGAATACCTGTTACATATAAAAAGAAGTTCATGTGAGATTTACTTGTCGTTTCTGATTATGGAACAGCTATTATGGGAAGAAGATGGATTCGAAACCTACAGATAAGTCTTCGTGACTTTTATTCTATTTCTACTTGTCAACCATCAATGTCAGAAATTTTCAATCAATTCAGCGATGTTTTTCAACCAAAAGTTGACGAAATTCCAAACTATCAATGCTCTTTATCTCTTCGAGCTAATGCACAACCAATTTTTATAAAGCTTCGCCGAGTTCCTTACGCTTTCCAAGCGAAAGTTGAACAGGAATTAGATGAGTTAGAAAATCAAGATATTATTAAGAAAACTGATCACTCCGGGAAACTTTGTATGTTCCTCCTGAACTCTTTTTTGGAAGAAATGTACGAACCAAGTTAGATTTTATGAGACCAACTGAATTGACATTTTCAAGTGGGCGATAGAGTTCAATCCAGAAATTATTCAAGACATGGATTATGGAAGTATGGAATAATTACAAAATGTATTGATAATCTACACTATTTAGTAGAACTAGATGATGGTTATGTAATTAAGCGTCATTATAATCAACTTCGTTCCTGTAATGTGGAGAAGAAAATGCATATCAACACTGAAACAGGTTTTGGCACTACCTTGGATCCAGAAGTTGATTATAAGAATTCTCCAAACACCAACATTCTGATTCAATCAACGGAAAACACATTAAATCAGGGGCTCATTCAAGAGAAAGAAATTAAGTCAACAAAAGAACATATCGTACCGGCAGTCATTGTTCAAAAAGATGATCAACTTGAACTACTACTACTAGAATTAAGAAACCAGTTCAGAGGTTAATTTTGTAATCTAAATATTTTACTGATTTGAACTATGAAATTAAGGAGGCAAAAATAATATAAAAAATATCTAAACTGTTAAATACACAACACACTGTCAAAATTATATTTTGTAAAAAAGGTTTCCCGTCAATAAATTATTACTATTATTATTACCTAATTTCATTTGATTTGTACAATTTGTTCTCAAGATATTTACACACTGGAGAGAAACAAGAAGTACTCTCGATAGTGATTCTATAACATTAATTTATTAAACCTAATCACCTCTATCTACTCGCAGAAGTTTGTCCAGCAATAGTTAGTACACCAATTATGCAAGTCAAATGCACTTACAAAAGCAAAGAAAGAGAAAATTGTACCGGAGCTGTGGAAGGTACTCTCGCCAAATTTCGCTGTGCTGACTTTTACGAAGACGTGCAGCTGAAAAGTAGACCCCCTCAGATCTGCGTCAACGGGGAGTGGAGTCAGCAAAATCCCCAATGTGTACCAGGTTAGTCTACTTTGTGATACATTATTATAAAACTTAAGACAATTTGTTACAGTGTGCGGGCAAAAACTGGCCACAAATTCAACTACTAATGCGTCTGCCCCTAGCAGCGTAGATTACCCTTGGCACGTAACCATATACAACACACAAAACGAAAATCGAATAATTTGTAGCGGATCTCTTTTAAGTGAAAGAGTCATTCTTACAGGCAAGAGTTGAAATTGTAGTCGAAAATGTTCACACTTTTAATTATTTTAGCCGCAAGTTGCGTCACTGATTCAAAAGGAAATTTAGGATCTAAGGAACATTACGTGGTAGCTGTTGGGAAAGATTACAAGCAATTCAACGACGACAGAGATGTTGGGGCTCAATCGTCTCAAGTAAATTTGTCAGTTAACAGTTTGTCATCTAAGAATTATTATTAATTTTAGGTGCACGCCATTTTTATTTCCAGTGAATACAACCGTGACAGTGGAGACAGTGATATCGCTATTTTAGTCACAAAAAAAACTTTTATATTGAGGAAGAACGTTCTACCGGTTTGTTTAGACGTCGGCCAAAACCACAAACCTCCAAAGAATCAACCAGTTTATGTAAGTTCGGCTCTTTATTAGCTGTAGTCGAAATACAACATCATTGTAGATCAGTAGTTGGGATCGGCGGAACCTCAATTCTACCAGTTTTCTGAAAGAAGAAAATAGTCGTTCTCTTTCTCACTCCGAGTGCAGAAATTGTATGCATAAAGATTTTCATTTCTTTTTAACACCCGACAAACTATGTGTGCCTTGTTTAAGCAATGGTATTTTAAGATGACATTTTTCTTGTTGAAATATAACAATAAAAATTATTTTTTAGAAGGCAGGTGCTTTTACAACCCCGGTAGTGCTGTGGTGTACCAGCACGACGACAAGTACTACGTGACTGGTGTTGTTAATTCCGAATTTGTTAACTTGGATTCAAACCAGTGTGATATTGAGGATTTTATGCTTTACACAGATATTTCGCGTTATATGAATAGTTTTATTTTAACAAAATTGTCTACACATTAAACATAACATGTAGCTTTAGTTAAGTTAGCAGTGGAACAAATATATACCTATATTTTTATAACGAACATTAATTAATTTAAAAAAAAAATACGCTGTAAAATATTTTTTAATTTTTTTTTTCATAGGTGGAAACATCAACTGTGGCGAAAATTTTATCATTTATGGGACTAAAATTTAAAAGCATCACTATCTGGTAAGCGAAAACCAACGGATTTATTTACAAATTATATGTTTCGGAAAGACCTGCAACGACAAATTTGGCAACTTAATGAAAAAAACGAATATTTCACTGTAGGTACTCTTTTGGCATATTCTAGGGAACAGTTGGAATTTGAAGAAGGTCGAACCACATTATACACAATTCTTAAGTCAATGGGTTATAAACACAGGGAAGTAAATGGTCGCAAAATTCTGTGAACAAAAACATGTCGTTACTTTTTTGGGAACATATTTACAGTTTCTAAATTCTTGTGAAAATTTGACTTTCGTGTATTTGGATGAAACATGGATCTGTCAAAATGGTTCGTCCATTCGTCGCTGGGTGCACGAGACTGATCTAAAAAGCAATCCCACCAAAATAAAAGTGAAGGATCAAGGTTTACTATTCTCCACGTGGGTTGTTCAACGGGGTTCTTGGACGGTTGTAACAATTTTTTAAATCCAAAAAATAACGATAGAGGCTATCATAAAACGATGGACGAGACAATTTTTCAAAATTGGGTGGTTAATCAGCTCATTCCTGCTTTGGCAAAGTTGAACTAAAAATGTGTGGTGGTTTTAGACAATGCACCGCATCATTCGGTTCAGTTCGATAAACCACCCATTTTTTCTAGCAAAAAATGTGAAATGCAGGAATGGTTCTTTAAACATAGGGTTGAATTTGACAAAAAATTTTCGAAGAAACAGTTGTGGGATTTAATTAAACCCTTCAGAAACGATAGAAAAAAAAAGATATTTGGTAGACGAGACATTAAGAGAAAGTGGCCATGAAGTTCTTAGATTACCTCCGTACCATTGTCAATATAATCCACTTGAAATGGCGTGGGGATTTTGTAATAACTATTACAACAAGCATATAAATTCTCAACCTTCATTAAAACATAGGGTGGAGAATTTGTGGCTTGAGGCGTTTTCTAAATATACTCCAAGCATGTGGCAAAATTTTTGTAAACATTGTGAAAAACTGATTTTGGCAGATTGGGAAAAAATATGGGAAATCTTTTGTACGAATCCATACCTCCTTTGATTATTTCGCTAGGCGAATCTGATTCAGAATCTGAATTTGAAAATGACGGTGATGACACAGATTTTCATAGCGAAATCATGGAAATGGAGTGAATTGTAGCTTGTCAGGGGGTGATATTTTTACGCATCTTTCGTTCTAAATTTACCAAGGTAGTATGTGAAAAACTACCTGACGTACAACAAAATAAGTATAATTTTAGTTAGATCATCCACGTTGTTACTTTGCACCAAATTTTAAGCATTTTTATTTTTTTTTTTTGTAACTCTTCATGGACTTTGAGAAGGCGTATAGTAACGTTCTTATTAATAAGCGTTTGGAGGTACTTAGTAAAAGCAAATAAAGAGCACTTACGTAAGCATTAGTAATAGCTATATATATTTCAAACAATTTTTCAGTGACGTGCTCCAACGGGAATTGGGTTGGGAGTTTACCCACGTGCGTACCCAGTAAGTTTTAAACCAAAAGTTATTACAATTTTTCGTTTCGTACGAGTGGTGTGGTTAGTTCACGTTATTGTCAAGCATGAAGCTTTTTAACCGTGTGGCTTCCACATTTCCAGGCTTTGCCATGGGGTTTTCCCAGGAATGTTCTTCCACGGGTACTCCTTAGGTTTTAGTGTTATTTGTTCGATCAGACTTTTTTCGTAACTTTAGAATGGACGCATAAAATTTTCTTAAATAAACTTATAGCCCTATGAACAGAAAAATTATATCTCTGTCTGTAATACTGGTGGCATTTTTACTAGATGTGGAACTGAATTATTTCATTCTTGGCTATAATTTAAACAACAAGATAATATGATGCTGTAAAGTCGGTTGTCTGATGTTAAAATCAAGCTACTTTAAATTAATTGTGCCAATCTGCCAAAGAAGTTGTTCAATCTCGGTGTCAAATACCTTTGTAAATCTTGGAGGGAAACTTATTTATAGGAAGTCCTCTAGATAGTGTTTCTATACCATTTTAAATTGCTAAAATTAATTGCCTGTATTTACTCGCAGAACCTTGTCCACCAATAGTTAGCACACCAATTAGGCAAGTCAAATGTACTTACAAAGGCGAAGAAAGAGAAAATTGTATTGAAGCTGAGAATGGTACCATCGCCAAGTTTCAGTGTGCCGATTTTTATGAATACAAGCCGTTCACACGTAGATCCGATCATATCTGCGTTAATGGGATGTGGGATCAGCCTCATCCTCAGTGCATTTTGAACGAACAAACAGCTCGTTTTCTTTCCCATTCTACGTGCCGAAGTTGCACCAAATTACTTTTTCATCCTTTTTTAACAGAACAAAGATCTTGTGTGGCTTGTTCAAACAATGGTAATTAAAGAAAGAATTTTTAAGGTGTTAGCCATACATAAAAAATTTAATTTTATAGACAAGTGCCGTTACGAGACTGGCAGCAGTTTTGCGTACAAGTTCAAAAACAAATACTATGTGTCTGGTGTTGCTGATAGTTTGGCTGGAAAACACCTTACTGGAATACACGAGTGTGAAAATGAGTTTATTACGTTTTACTTTGATGCTATGAATTATATGAGAAATTTAACAAAGTATTCCGAAAGTAAATCATACTCTGGAGAAAACTAACAATGAAATAAATACAGTTCTCTATGAGAAAGCTATTTAATTGTCTTTAGATAATATCTCATACTCAAATACTCAAAACCAATAATCAAAAACGCATTTGGTTACTTTTATAAAAATAAAAAAAAATCGAAGTTTATTTCCACAGCACTTCTTTCGCATCTGAAGTAGGTGCAAATCCAACAAATCTCGTTTCTTTGAAAAATTGTAAAATTTAATTTTACGATGTTTGTTTTGTGATAACCTCTATAAAGTAAAAACCACCGGCATAAATAACAGCACCGTAGCCCCTAACAAACGGAAAAAATGGCCTCTCATAATTAGAGAGCGGATTTATAAGCACAAAAAAATTAAGAATAAGCGCTTAAATAAGCACAACATTTTCAATAAAAAAGTTTTATTTGAAGCAAAAAAACATTAAATAAGCATAACACTTTCATTAAAAAAGTTTTATTTTAAGCAAAAAAGCATTAAAAAGATAATCATATTACAAATCAAAGAACACTTCTTAGAACTTTGGATAAAATATTATTACAATAAGCCTAGAGTTTATATTTTACACACGTATTTCAGTTTTCTTTAAAACAATTTATGATGTAATATGTTCCAAGTTGTCCACTGTAAAATTTTTTCGCCGATCATTTAAAATGTGTTTAAAATTGGAGAATGTGCGTTCAACATCCACACTCGTTGTTGGCGCAAATTTGAATTTTGCAACTAATGTTGAATCTAACTCCAAATTTTCCACCTTCTGCCTTTTAAAACACGAGCAACGTCGGAAAGAACACCCAAACCTGCATTTTTATTTAACACTTCGTCAAGTTTTTGAGATACTCTAGTACCAATATCACCCCTTACTGCGTTTGCTTGTTGTTTAAATTCTTTCACTAAGTTTATGGCATCTACCAACAACATGTTGGGTTTTTCTAACTTTTCTATTACCTCACATACGAATTGATAATTGCTTCTTAGAAAAGCTAGATCTTGTCGCAAATCTTTGTTTTCCAAAATATTTATGCAATCTTTAATCGATTGAGAAGAATCTTCGCTAAACTCTGTAACTACTTCCTCGAATTCTTTGATATATTTGTCATAATAAAATGTGGCCTGTAACCATGTTCCCCACCTCGTTATAATCGGCTCTGGGGGTAATGGTATGTTTGGAAATTTTTCCTTAAAATGTTGCACTCTTAGTGGGGCTTTAACAAAAATCTTTTTACCATTTGCTACTAATTTATTAACAGTAGGAAACTGCAAACGTATTCCTTCAGCCACTCTGTTTACCGTGGGCAATGCAAGTAGAGTGAATTAAATTGGGGTACAATATTTTTAGATTATTCCCTGCTTTCAACATATAACGAGCTGCATCCGAGATCATCAATAAAATTTTATTCGCCGGTACGGCATTTGGCAAAAATGGTGAGGTAAGACTGTCATTTACAAATCTGGCAATCGTATTGCCATTTGTTTTATCTGACATTTTCAAACTTATTACATACACTCGACTAGGGAAATTTTCATTTAAGATTCCAAACATTAAACTTGTCACGTATCTTCCACAACTATCGGTTGTTTCATCGACAGCGAACCATAAATAATCATCTCCAATGCGATTTTTAATTTCGTTGTAAACTTGCTGAGACACTGGACCTACATATTTTTTCGGAGAGTACTTTCAACCGGAATATGTCGATTCCAGTGTTTTTCAAGGAATTCTTGAAGAGGGTCTTTCGCCAATTTTTTTAAAGGTATATTGGACTGGATCATCATTTTACATAAATCGAAATTAAACTGAAACTGCTCATCTTTTGTGGAAGTAGATGCAACAGATTCATGTATGGTCTGCTGTTTAATTTTAGAAACTTCAAACATTTTCTTCCTTTCTACATGAAGAGTCGTTCTGACACGTTGCGTCACGTTATATTTTTTATCACTTTGAATCTAAAACAACGTACATATACAGGATTAACAAAGGAAAATAGATAAAAAAAAATAGTGGGCTTACGGTTTTCACACAAGCTCTGCAGAATATTTTGTTGTTTTCTAATTTTAATTCCGGAAAATCCCTTATCCACTCATCCGGCGTCGATTTTACTTTCGGCATTTTTTTAAAATATTAGTAATATTACCAAAAAGAACTCAACATGTAACAAGGGAGAACCACGTATAAGACTGTACTACGACAGATGCGATAGACTGATGGTTGTGAAATAAATGGTTCATTTACTTAAAAGTTTCCATTAGAAAAATTTTAAGGTAGGTAGTTGGGTACAATAATCCTTTTTTCTAGAAAATCTTCAACGGTCTTGCCGCAAAATACCGAAAAAGAACATCTGGTTAAAAGCTTTAATTTTTCCAAACATATAATAAAATTTTATTACCGAAAGACCGGAACCTATTCACAGAAAGGGTCTTGAATAAGTGTACTTCAATGGTCAAGTCCAGGTAAAATGCATACGATACGATACGGCTAACTAACAAGTATTTGTCATCCAGACAAGGCCGGCATTTGAACAAAATATGCATTAAAACTTATATTCGTCGAAAAAAGCATTAAATAAGCATATAAGTTTTAATATGCATGAAATTGAAAAAAAAGCAAATAAGCATAAAAAATGTGTCAAATGACTCCAAATTGTATCATAGTTACAGATATGAAAAAGTTTTGAAGTGCTTACATTTTTCACAAAAAGCATTAAACCTAGAAATCCGCTCTCTACTCATAATAACATGCCTAACTTCGAGTGTTTATATATTTATATTATGCAGACAGATAGACAGACGGCCAAACGACAGACGGAAATGGGAGACCACTTTTTTCGTAATCTAGGGATCATGAAAACATGAAATTATAACATGTCCTGTACTTAGTAAATACTTCATTTTCCTACTTTGTCCAAAAGTTTAACATGCACTTAATTTTTTAATGTATAGTTGATGATAAACGAAGCAAAGAGGTTTGATAACATTCATGTTTTTTAATTAAATACTTATATTTACTTTATACCTATTAACTACTTAATCAAAACCCGCAACAGTTTCGATCACGAAATCGTGACAGTTTTTAGAAGCTAATCTACATATACACTGTACAAGCACTAAAATTCCCCCTTTATGATATCTTGTAGTAAATATAAAGAAATAAGTGATTGAATCCGACCAAATGTTTCAATTATCAATTTATATTAAAATGTGTTTTAATATTATTTTGATGGCGTGAATTTTTTCGTTTAATATAACACTATGCGTATTCAAATCTAATTTTTGTTCCAATAAACATTTCCCCTTCTAGTCTAGATTTTAGTTAGTCAATCTATACAAAGCAGATATCAAAAATAATATTTATACTAAGAGCGTGACCTTCTTTAGAAGTTATCAGTTCGATTTAGAAATTTGATTGAATTATATCAATATTTATTTTTCTTTATACGTTGAATATGCTTCATAATTGGTGGACGAAGTACCATACAAAATGACGACCTGTAGTCTCCTACAGTTTGTAGCTAAAATTATAACATTACATATTTTAAGTAAGTCTGTGTATGTGTATAGAAATTTTATAACTTATTTCTTATCGCTTTTCTTCTTGTTTTTTATATCAAATTTAACCTTTTAGTAAGTAATTCTACTTGTGGCGCGTATGGTCATAGTAGCTACACTAGACTACCACGCAGCATCAGGTAATATTACGTTATAAAATTGCCTTCATGAGGAATCCAACAATTTTTGATCAGCTGTGTTCTTCCACAACACCCACAATTTGGTAATTGGACCATTTACAACTCCCTTTCCCAGTTGCTCCCTGGGACGTTGGTACCAGAACAAACAGTCTTAGAAACAAGTTGCCAGAAGGGTTTCAAATTAGACGGTGAAGACATCACTGCTTGTATCCGGGGGACATGGAAACCCAAAATTGGACAGTGCTTGCGTAACCACTTCCTATATTTGAAAATTTTTCTTGAAAAGATTTTGCAGGGACCTGCCCCACCATAAACAGCAGCTTGGCAATGAGAGTGACTTGCAGCCGTAACAACCAAACACTAGAATCTTGTGCTAACGTTTTTGATGGCACAGTTGCGTCCTTTCACTGTGCCGACTATTTCGAGTTCCAGACTCCGGACCAAGAAGCGACACAATGGTGCTCGAACGGAAACTGGGTTGGGAGTTTACCCACGTGCGTACCCAGTATGTTTTGAAATGTTATATCGTTGCTACAATTTTTGGTTTGGTTGAATTTACGTAGTTGATAAGAAGATTACTTAACTTTGACTTTGCTTTTTAGTTAGTTAACTTTTGATCTTCACATTTCAGACATTCGGTCTTCCATTCGTTCTCTGTAACTTGGTACACTTCAGGTGTTATTTGTTCTAGCAGACTTTTCTCGACACAAAGAAATGAATTGATACGTTGTTTGCTTTATTTTTAGTTTGCGGCCAGTCATCGCCTACAGCAGATCCTACATTAATTGTTGGTGGAAAGAAAGCAAAAAGAGGTAAATACCCATGGCATGTCGCTTTATATGACGCTCAGAGCAAAACTTTGCTTTGTGGTGGAACCCTATTAAATCAAAGAGTCGTCTTAACAGGTAAAGTGATTTACTAAAAAAGAAAATATATTTTTTTCACTAGCAGCCTGGACGCATGCAAATGTCGACTCATTTAGTGGTAGCAAATTCAACTTTTGCTACCACGGGTTCAAAAAGAAAAATTGAGGTTATGTACGCAATGTTTGATGTGATTATTTCTTAAAAAATGAACAAATGTGTGCTACAAACATTACTTGAGTATACGCATGGTAGTTGGTAGATGGTAGAAGATAAAATGATTAACTCAGCGACAAGTATAAACGGTTTTCTTTGTGTTGAAGATTTAGATCAAGTTTGATTAGAAATCAAAACAAAATCATGTTGCGTCAAAAAATTGAACGTTTATTTTTCAGTTTATTGTCTTATGGTTTCTACTAGTGAAAAAAATAGTATATTAACCACGGTTGCAAAGCCACTTCTAGACCTCGCACTTAGAGCCCTCGACGCTGCGCGTCTCGGGTTCTAATTTGCGCTCGGTCTAGAATGCTTGGCTCTGCAACCTTGGCTAATAATATACTATATTAAACGCTTCAATAAAACATTTGCAGCGGCACACTGCATTACAAACGTTGAAGCTCACCTACAACCAAAAGAGAAATATATAGTAGCAGCTGGAAAATATTTTCGCCAGTATAATCATACTGATGATGCTGACAGCACACAGTTTTCCTCTGTAGGTTGCTAGATGTCCAAAACTGTCACTCCTGTTTTTAATTTTTAGGTAATTGAAATGTTTATTCCGTATCAGTACAGAGGACACGCTCGACATTATGCTGGAGACATTGCCCTTATTGTTACGAGTAAAATATTTAATCTTACTATCAACGTTAGACCCATATGTATTATATGGCAGATGACACGTTATAAAGAGCTATTAGATCCTACTAAAACGATGCGTGCTTATGTAATCATGGTTTGTATCAGAAATCTGATTTAGGGCTTTCAATTTCTTGTAGGTCACCGGATGGGGTTTTACTCGTGAGTTCACAGATCGTCCTGATGTTCTTAACGAATTAGAAGTTCCTCTCATTACTGATCAGAAGTGCATTGAGGAACTACCCGAAGACGACATACAATATGTGACTGACGATAAATTCTGTGCTGGCTTTTTAAATTCTAGTAAATGTTTTTATTTTTTGGAATCGTAACAAACCCTAAAATTATAGGTACTTCTGTGTGCAAAGGCGACAGTGGTGGAGGTTTGGTAATTAAACGCAATAAACGTTACTACATCATTGGAATTGTTAGTCTTTCACCTCGGGGAGCCACAAAACATGGTGGTTGCAATAGTCAGCTCTATACTCTTTACATTAAATTGTCTTTCTACCTTGACGATTTTGTGCTCGAGAAAGAAGCCAAATTTAGGCCGTGAGTTCTAAAACTTTACTGACTGTCAAGATTTTAATTCATTTTTCCTAATACAAACGTAGACGTTTTGACTGTGGAGCCATTTCTGACTGTAACAATATTGTATTCAGTACAGAGTCGCCATCAACAAGAGTGATAGTTACAAATACGTCTGATGGGTAAAATACACTTCCTTTTCAAGGAACAGATTTTACAGTTCTAGGAATTTTGTTTAAATAGTGGCTGCATTTTACCAAACCATCCAGAATTTGGCAAATGGTTTGTTACTGGATCAAAAAGCCTTCAACCTGGAATGTCAGTGGCAAGAGGAACTCGTCTAAACGTACAATGCCACGAGCATTTCAAACTTGATAGTCAACGGGTAATTAATTGTGGAAAGAACAAGTGGTCGCGCAAACTTGGGCGATGTCTGAGTATGTGTTTTTCTATTGTGTTATTATAGTGCAAATTTAATTATTTTTGCCTTGTATTGTGAACTTTTAACGATGTTACGATTTTTAAAATCTGGATAGTAAGTTCAGAAAAATTATGTTATACACACAAGTTTTCGAATCTTTTATATGTGGTACTATCGAGGTGCCTGAATCATCTTAAAGCAAAAGTTATTTGAAATTGGTAAAATTTGCAAATATTTGGAAAAAACGGGAACAAAGGCAGTACCTTTGATAGTAAATGTATATAGTTTTAAATGACTAAAATTAATTACCTGTATTTACTCGCAGAACTTTGTCCATCAATAGTTAGCACACCACGTATGCGAGTCACATGTACCTACAAAGGCAAAGAAAGAGAAAATTGTACTGAAGCTGTGGAAGGCACTCGTGCCAGGTTTCAGTGTGCCAACTTTTACGACGTGCAGTTGAAAAGCAAACGCGTTCACGTCTGCACTAATGGGATGTGGGATCAACCAAATCCTCAGTGTGTACCAGGTTAGCGTTATTGTACAATATTATAGAACTTTACACAATTTGTTACAGTATGCGGGCAAAAGCCAACCACAAATTTAACTATTAACGGGTATTCCAGTGACAATAGAGATGCTCCATGGCACGTATCTATATACCATGAGGACTTGGAAACTGGAATGAAGGATTATATATTCTCTTGCGTTGGATCTCTTTTAAGTGAACGAATTATACTTACAGGTGAGATCGAAACCCTAGTCGGAGATCTTCACAATGCAAACAATTTCAGCTGCACATTGCGTTACTGATGACAAACAAAATTTGAAATCTAAAAAACATTACATCGTAGCTGTTGGAAATGAACACCAGTACTTCAACGTCTCCGCAGACACTAAAGTTCAGTTTTCTCAGGTAAATTTAACCACCTAGCAAAAATAATAAACTGTCTTCATTAATAATTTGTTAGAAAAGCTGTTATTAATTTTAGGTGCACGAAATGTTCATACCTAGAGAATTTAATATTGTAACTACTGCTGGTGACATCGCTATTTTAGTTACGGAGAAAACTTTTGTATTGTCGGAGAGTGTTCTTCCGGTATGCTTAGATACAAGTCAAAATCACAAGCTTACAGAAAACCAAACTGTTGATGTAACTTTGGCCCTTTATCAACCCTAGCAGGACTTTTTGCATGATAAATTTATGTTAGACTTAAATAAAAAATCTTTGGATAACATTTATTACATCCTCAATATTGAAGATAAAATCAGGTACCTTAACACAACTGTGTTAGAATTATTTGACTATCACGCTCCGTTCAAAACCTCGTTCATCTCAAAGCCCTATGCACCTTGGCTCACCCCTTCTATTAAAGAATTGATGAAACAAAGAAATCGAGCATTAAGTTTATATAAGCAAACTAAATCTGCTCAGCACTGGCTATTTTATAAGCAGCTAAGAAATTCTACGGTTGCTGCACTGAAACGGGAAAAAAAAGCGTACTTAGATTATGAAAGTAATACTTCAAACAAAAAAAGACTATGGGTTGCACTAAAAAAGTTAAATATTCAAAAAAAAGTTAAAGGATGTGATCTGTCTACATTCAGTGCTGATGAAATAAATGAATATTTTTTGTCAGTATTCACTCCTCCCCAAAACTGTGTTGAAGCTGCTAATAACATAAAAGGTATCAAATATAAACCAAATAGTAACTTTAAATTTTCATTGGCCACTGAGGAGGAAGTGTTTCAAATCATAAATAGCCTGAAATCTAATGCTATGGGTATTGATGGTATCTCTGCTTACATGATTAAATTATGTTGTCCTAATATAGTTCAGCCAATTACTCACATTATTAATTGCTGTCTGGAGACTGGATACTTTCCAGAATTATGGAAAGTGGCTTTAATTCATCCTATTCCCAAAATCGACGAGGTAAACTCTCCACAACACCTAAGACCAATAAGTATTCTTCCAACATTATCTAAAGTCTTAGAAAAATGTATCTATAATCAAATCTTTAATTTTATAGTAAAAGAAGAGATATTATCTGAAGATCAATCTGGTTTTCGCAAGGGATATAGCACAACAACAGCTCTAGCTTCTGTTATCGATGATTGCCTGATTGAACTTGACAAAAACCACGCAAGTATTGTAACTCTTTTAGATTATTCAAAAGCTTTTGATACTTTGGACCACCAACTCCTCTGCACAAAATTGGAATATTATGGGTTCGATCAAATTTCTGTTTCGTTTTTCAAATCATATTTACAAAATCGACATCAACAAGTTGTAACCGAGTCTGGTAAATCTAAAATTGGCTTAATAACATCAGGCGTACCGCAAGGCTCGGTCTTAGGCCCAATTCTTTTTACTATATATACTTCCCAATTGTTGGAGATACCTTCAGTATCTAAAAAGAGAGCCTTTGCAGATGACACCCAAATGCAGCATCATTTCCTACCTAACGAAGTTGATATAGCATCTAACCATATAAATAATGACTTACAAAATATAGCAAATGTTTCATCTGATATTAACCTCCAACTGAATATAAATAAATGCAAAGTTATTTGCTTCGCTCCCCGAAAATTTAAAAATGTTGTTTTTGACAATATTAATGTTAAATTTGATAACATAAAACTACCAGTTTTACATACTGTAAGAAATTTGGGATTGGTGATTGATGACGATTTTCGTTTTAAGACCCATATTTCTAACATTATTAAAAAATCTTATGTAGCATTGAAACTTCTTTATTCAAATTACCTTTTACTCAATTTTAAATTGAGGAAGAAATTATGTGAGTCTCTTGTCTTGTCATATATAAATTATTGCCTAGTAATATATTACCCATGTCTTGACAGTATTGATAAATACCGTCTTCAAAAAATCCAAAATAATTGTTGTCGTTTCATTTTTGGTTTGAGGAAATTTGATCATGTGTCTCAGAAAATCTGTGAGCTTGGTTGGATGAAAATTGACAAATTGTTTCAGTATCACCTATCTATCTTTGCTTTCAAGTTATTTTCCTCTAACTCTCCGCCCTACTTGCGTTGTAAATTTCATACAAGAAAAAGTATGTTAAACTCAAGTCTCCCATTAAGGAATCTTAAAGAACTGTCAATGCCAAAGCATTATACATCTATCTTTCAGAGATCTTTCACGTACAATATTATCAAAGTTTACAATAAATTTTTATTAGAGTTTAATTCAAGTTCTTCCATCAATTGTTTTAGGAAAAAAATTAAAAAATGCTTGATTAATACTTAGGTTTAAGTTTATTATTGTGGTTCTCTTGCTTGTTGTTAACTTTTTGTTATTATTATTATTATTATTATTTGTATAAATTTAGTTTCTAATTATGGATTATTTAATTTAATTTAATTTAATTTAGATTTAATTAGTTTAAATTGTTTAATTTGATCATTACCTAGCTGACTCCTGTCTAGATATTTAATCCGTTTTTCTGTACAAACTGTTTGGTTAGTTTTATTTTCTTGTAAATCTAAGGTTAAGTGGAATAGCCTATGGCTAGACTTCGCCTATTATTATTTAATAAAGTCCTATTATTATTATTATTATTATTATTAATGTAATCTTTGTTTGTAGATCAGCTGCTTTTGGCAAAATTCTTTGTTAACAGAATCAGCTCATCATGTTTCTCATTCGAAGTGTCAAAGTTGTCTGCATAAAGATTTTCAGTATTCTTTTACACCGCAGCACCAATGTGTGACTATTTTTAACAATGGTATATTGGGATGGAATTTTTAAAATGTTGGAAATACATGACAGTAAAAATTATTTTGTAGGAATCGTTTCCCTTTGCTACTCCGGAATGGGCATTGTGTACAAGCACGACGACAAATATTACGTAACTGGTGTTGCAATTAAACACATGATCTGTGACGGTTTCTCTTCTAAGGCTCTTATGTCTTACGTAGACATTTCGAATTATATGAGTGCTTTTATTTTATCAAAATTATCTATATATGAAACGTAATAAGTATTATTTTCAACAAGTTTGTAGTGAAATAAATACATTTTTATTCTGCAAAGTGGCTTATTTTAGTTTAATGTTTTCCCTCTTATATTTACTTAACAACTATGAAATAATCGCTTTTAAAAGTTCAAAGGTGACTATTCCATTTTAACCTGCTAAAACTAATTGTTTGTATTTACTCACAGAAGATTGTCTAGAATTTAATTTTTTTGTATTAAAATTTCATAGTAAATCGAATTATTTCTTGAATATTCATAATTTCAAAATTGCGTTTTTTGGTTTTTTATCACATCATATTTAAAAAAATATACAAAATTTCGTCTTAGTTTTTTAACTATTACATAACCAACAATGCTGATTCTAACAATGTAACTTTTACTGTACCTACTAGTAAGTATTTTTAAATTTCTATAAAAAAAAATGTCTTTACTATTTACGCAAAAAGTGTATTGAAATTTACAACATGCGACGTTTCGTTTTATTACTGAAGATTTTAAAGTCAATCAACGACAGAGTTTTGTAATCAAGAAGTATTTGACAGCGATCTTTTTAATTTTAGTGTATTAACTAATACTTTGCAGCATAACTATTTCAAAATTTTTAGTAATGAAAAAAACCCGTTTAATTAAAATTTCGAAATGCATTCCATGTACGTAACGAACGATTTTTTAAACAAATTAATGTAAAGACACGAATACAATCACAGTTACACTGCTAGAATCAGTAATGTTATTATCGTTAAAAATCTAAGGCAAAATTTGAAGTGGATTCTAAAATATCAGGCCACAAAAATCAGACAAAGGAAATTTAGAAATATGAAAGTAGAGGCAAAAAAATAGACTAACAACGAAATTTAAAAAAATAAAAACCGCACTTTAACACTAATGGATACACAATAGCAAGAGATTTTCCAAAATCACAATTTCGTTTTTTGGCGATTTTGTCTTGAACATTTACATTTACGAAATTTCATTTTTTTGCATTGTCTTTAAATTAAAAAATAAGCTTTATTTGTTACGCGAAAGAGCAGAATTTCGGTCGAAAAACCTAGGAACACTCCTACTTGCAAACACGGTAGAGATGGAAAGAAGACATTCCAAGGATTAAGAAAAAAAAGACCCATCTAAATAGCTCGTCTAGTTTAAAAGTTACAAATTGTCAAATTCGAGTTTTTTAAATTCTAGCGAAAAAACTGAAAGCATCCCTAAATGCAAACGTAGATGGCCGCATTTGAAGAACTTGTAGAAAAAAAGTGGAGGATTTAAGTAGATTACTACAAAAAATTACCATTTTGGACATGTTTTAAGTTTATTATTGTCGAAATAAGTGCACACATTTTAAGAAACGAAGGTAAAATGTAGGCCCGCCCACCCGCTCTGTCTCAATTGTGATGATTTTTTTATTCGTCGTGAGCCAAGAGGGCGGAGCTTAACTGCAAAATCCTTACTTCTCTATGAAAAATTAAAAATATGTTTTTGAGTATCGTGTTGTCCAAAGAATACTATGTACAATAAGAAAAAATTAAAGCCAAAAATTAGACCCCGCCCCGATCTCAATTCTTAACCGTGATGAATGTTTCTTTCGTTGTCAGATCGAAGGGCGGGGCTTAATTGCAAGATCCATATTTGTCTTCAAGAATTTACCATTTTAACCATCTTTTAAGTTTCTTGTTGTGAGAAGATGGCTATGTACGCCAAGAAACAAAAAACAAAATATAAGCCCCGCCCACCCACCCTATCTCAATTCTGATGATTTTTTTATTTGTCGTGAGCCAAGAGGGCGGAGTTTAACTGCAAAATCCATATTTCCTTACAAAAATTTACCATTTTAAATGTGTTTTAAGTTTCTAAGAAAAAAAATCATTACAATTGCCCACTCTGTTTAAACCGTGGGCAATGCAAGTAGAGTGAATTAAATTGGGGTACAATATTTTTAGATTATTCCCTGCTTTCAACATATAACGAGCTGCATCCGAGATCATCAATAAATTTTATTCGCCGGTACGGCATTTGGCAAAAATAGTGACGTAAGACTGTCATTTTCAAATTTACTACATACCCTCGACTAGGGAAATTTTCATTTAAGATTCCAACAATTAAACTTGCCACGTATCTTCCACAACTATCGGTTGTTTCATCGACAGCGAACCATAAATAATCATCTCCAATGCGATGTTTAATTTCGTTGTAAACTTGCTGAAACACTGGGTCTACATAATTTTTTCGGAGAGTACTTTCAACCGGAATATGTCGATTGCAGTGTTTTTCAAAGAATTCTTGAAGAGGGCCTTTCTCCAATTTTTTTAAAGTTATATTGGACTGGATCATCATTTTACATAAATCGAAATTAAACTGAAACTGCTCATCTTTTGTGGAAGTAGATGCAACACATTCATGTATGGTCTGCTGTTTAATTTTAGAAACTTCAAACATTTTCTTCCTTTCTACATGAAGAGTCGTTCTGTCATGTTGCGTCACGTTATATTTTTTATCACTTTGAATCTAAAACAACGTACATATACAGGATTAACAAAGGAAAATAGATAAAAAAAAATTAGTGGGCTTACGGTTTTCACACAAGCTCTGCAGAATATTTTGTTGTTTTCTAATTTTAATTCTGGAAAATCCCTTATCCACTCATCCGGCGTCGATTTTACTTTCGGCATTCTTTTAAAATATTAGTAATATTACCAAAAAGAACTCAACATGTAACAAGGGAAAACCACGCATAACACTGTACTACGACAGATGCGATAGACTGATGGTTGTGAAATAAACGGTTCATTTACTTAAAAGTTTCTATTAGAAAAATTTTAAGGTAGGTAGTTGGGTACAATAATCCTTTTTTCTAGAAAATCTTCAACGGTCTTGCCGCAAAAAGCCGAAAAAGAACATCTGGTTAAAAGCTTCAATTCATTATCAACGGAAGTAAGGATTTCAAGTCATAAAATCTATGGAGTATTTTTCCAAACCTATAATAAAATTTTATTACCCAAACGACCGGAACCTATTCACAGAAAGGGTCTTGAGTAAGTGTACTTCAATGGTCAAGTCCAGGTAAAATGCATACGATACGATACGGCTAACTAACAAGTATTTGTCATCCCGACAAAGCCGGCATTTGAACAAAATATGCATTAAAACTCATATTCGTCGAAAAAAGCATTGAGTAAGCATATAAGTTTTAATATGCATAAAATTGAAAAAAAAAGCAAATAAGCATAAAAAAAATGTGTCAAATGACTCCAAATTGTATAATAGCTGTGAAAAGTACTGTTGGTTGCATCAAACTTTTTCCAAAATTTTTTATATAAAACTAAAGATAAACTGGTTCTACGTGTAAAAGTGTTAATTCAGTTATAGTAATCCATTATTTCTAATCTCCGTAGAAATATAATATTAATAAATATTTTTGATATTTATGTATCTGTCTAATATTTTAAAGTATGATAGGGCGGAGAGTAAGCTCTATTGTGGTCATAGTACATTGCAAAACTATTTCTCTCGCTATTCCACGCAACTGGACTTTTAAAAATAAATTCGGATCAAGATAGCAAACGAAATATTTATGCTAATAGCATGACCTCCTCTAGAAGTTATCAGTTCGATTTAAAAATGTTATTACCTTATATCAGTATCTATTCTTCGTTCTACGCCGAATAGTTTCATAATTTGTGGACGAAGTACAATACAAAATAACGATGTTGAGTGTCCCACAGTTTCTTGCGTATATTGTTACATTATACATTTTAAGTAAGTATGTACATAGTACACTATTGTCTTCGATATGTATTTTATAATTTTGTTTTCGCTTTTCTACTTGTTTCTCACGTCAAATTGAACCTTTTAGTAAATAGTTTTACTTATGGCGCGTATGATTACACTAACTACATTAGAGTACGACGCAGCAACAGGTAATATTACACTATAAGATAACCTTCGTGATGAATCCACCCTTTTTTGACCAGCTGTACTCTTCCACAACACCCACAATTTGGTCGATGGACCATCTACGGCGCTTCTACCCAACTGTCTCCTGGAAAGTCAGTACCAGAACGAACAATCTTAGAAATACGTTGCAACAAGAATTATATACCAGACGGTGATGATTCCACTACTTGTAAACGTGGGACGTGGACACACCAAATTGCACAGTGTTTACGTAACACTTTCCCATATAAAAAAATTTTTCTTGAAAAACGTTTTCAGAGACGTGCCCCACGATAAGCAACACTTTGGCGATGACGGTAACTTGCAGCCGTAACTTACAAACACTGAAATCTTGTGCCAATGTTTTTGACAACACAATGGCTCGCTTTCATTGTGCCCGCTATTTCGAGTTCCAGACTCCGGAGGATGAGCCGGCTCGACTGTGCTCCAACGGGAGCTGGGTTGGGAGTTTACCCACGTGCGTACCCAGTAAGTTTTGACGTAAATATTGTTACGCATCTTGACTTTGCATCATTTTTAGTATGCGGCCAACCGTCTCCTGTAGTAGATCCTACATTAATTGTTGGAGGAACTGAAGCCGAAAGAGGCAAATATCCATGGCAGATCGCTTTGTATGACGCTAAGAGCAAAATCTTACTTTGTGGTGGAACCCTATTGAATCAAAGGGTCGTCTTAACAGGTAAAGTTATGCATCAAAGACGCAGAACGATTATCATGTCGTGATAACGTTGTAGCGGCACATTGTATAACAGATGGTAAGGCTCAACTAGCACCAAAAGAAAATTATATAGTGGCAGCTGGAAAATATTTTCTGCGGTACGATCATCCCGACGATGTAAAGAGCACACAGTTTTCTTCTGTAGGTTACTACGCGTGCAAAACTGTGACCCCTGTTTTTATTTTTAGGTACTCGAAATGTTTATTCCGGTGAAGTATAGAGGACACGCTCGACAGTATGCTGATGATATTGCGATTATAATCACGACACAAATCTTTGATCTTTCTATCAACGTTCGACCTATATGTGTTATATGGGAGACGTCAAGATATATAGAGCTATTAGATCCTACTAATACAACACGTGCTTATGTAATCGTGGTTTGTATTAGAAATTTGATTTTGGGCTTTCAATTTCTTGTAGGTCAGCGGTTGGGGTTACACTCGTGAGTTCACAGGTCGTCCTGATGTTCTTAAAGAGTTAGAAGTTCCTCTCATTAGTGATCAGCAATGCATTGAGGGACTACCCGAAGACGATACCGAATATGTGACTGGCGATAAGTTCTGTGCTGGTTTTTTAAATTCAAGTACTTATTTTAATGTCTTATAATCACAACTAGTGCTGAAATTTTAGGTACTTCTGTGTGTAAAGGTGACAGTGGTGGAGGTCTAGTAGCCAAACGTGACAAACGCTATTACATTATTGGAATTGTCAGTCTTTCACCGCGAGGAAACACACAAACTGGTGGCTGCAACAGTCAACTATACACTCTTTATACTAATTTTTCCTCCCACATTAACTTTGTACTAGAGAAAGAAGCCAAATTTAGGCCGTGAGTTTCAGAATTTTATTTACTGTCAAGCTTTTTATTCGTTTTTCCAACAACAAATCTAGACATTTTGATTGTCGGGTTATTTCTGATTGTAGCGACATTGGACTGACGACAGATGCGTTGCCTACAACAAGACAAGCAGTCACAAATTTGTCAAACGGGTAAAATATACTTGCAGTTGAGGTATCAAAGTTTTTACAATTTTAATTTAAGTAGTAACTGCATTTTACCAATTCCTCCACAATTTGGTAAATGGCGAATTGTTGGAGCGGAAATACTTAAACCTGGAATGTTTGTAGCAACAAAAACTATTATACACGTACAATGTGACGAGCATTTCAAACTAGAAGGTCCACAGACAATGATCTGCAGAAACGGAAGATGGTCGCAGGAGGCTGGGCGGTGCCTGAGTACGTACTTTTTTGTTTGATTCATTTTTGAAAACTCCAAAAATATTTTTAAAATACTTAGTAGTACTTTCAAATAAAAAATAGTTTAAAATCCTCAGGATATTATAAATTGAGCATTCAAATGTTCAAAATTTTGTGTTTTTCTATTAATTTTTAAAAATAAGAGGAGATTAAATTCCTTTTGTGTTTAGATTTCGTCTTTTTTTTAATTTTTGCAATTATAAATTTCACTCTTTTGTTTTTTGTTACAAAACTGTCAGTAAAAAAACTGTGTTTTGGGCCAGTTTACGGTTCATACAACATTAAATATTATTTCAAAGAATTTTCAATTTATTTTTTCATCTTCTTTATTATTATTTCATTAAATTTTTTTTGTTTTCCTGATATTAATACGATTTGAGTATAAAAAAAATTCTAAATGATTACAGTGTGGCCACTATTTACTCAATAAATTCGGTATTGTATTTTTTAGAAAATTTTCACGCAAATTCAATATTTTTTTATTATTTTGGGAATACGATGGGATGTAATTTGAGATCTCGAAATTTTATTTTTGAAAAAAATAATTAACAAAAAAGCCGTTAAGACTTTAAAGATCTCCTCAATTTATTTATATTGTCATTAATTTCACGAGAGTTTTAATCTTTTATACTCCATGTTAGAATTGTGGAGATTTTTTTTTTAAGTCATTTGAAAAGTAATTAGTTGAAAACACTTCAAAAAAGTGTATCATTCATTTTTGAAAGCTCAAAAGAATATTTTCAAAATATGTGCATATATATCCTCTGGTGTCTATAAAAGTTCCAAGTGACTTAGGTACTTACATAGTGTGGCAACTAATTCAAAAGTTTGTCTTCTTTTTATTTTTTAAAAAATAGAGGATCAAATTCCCTTCGTGTTGATGCTTCGTTTTTCTTGTAAAATTTTTTACTTTATAAATCTCAGAGTTTTGTTTCTTCAAAAAAAAAAGAAACTTGCCAAGTTATTTATTAATGCATTCATTATTTTCAAAATATTAGAATTTTCGAATGAAAAATATATAGTTAGGTCATAATCCCCAGAATTTTATAAATTAAACACTGAAATATTGAAAATTTTTGAAAATTTGTTTTTTTTATCTTTAAAAATAACAGAAGATTCTGAATATAAAGAGTGACTTTTTACTACGACTTTTTAACTGCTAAAAGGATCTATCCAAATCCGAAAAATTGGTTGAAAGTTATTTCGACAAAACTTCCCTAGCGCCTAAAGTATAGTCGAACAAATACAACTTTGAAAAATTTTTCTTTTTTCATCGTATTTTTTTGACTTTATAGTCAGTTTTTCCATATATATATTTATTTTTGAAAACGTCATTAACATCTTAGCTAGGGCACATATATCAATTTAGTATTAATAGACTCCTTTTAGTTTTGACACCCGTGGAATCCTCGAAATCTTTGAAATTTAGGGAAGACTTTGATCTTTCACAGTATTTGGAATATTTTCACAAATTCAATAAAATGTTTACAATTCAACATTTTCCTCAGTTTTCGCACTTTCTAGATATTTCCAGGTTTTCTAAAGTCAATAGACCCCGGGAATCTTTAAATTTTTGAAATGTTTGGAATCTCTGGAATCTTTAGTATCTCTGAGATGTATAAGATAATAATTAGAGTGTTCAAGACCCCTAATACTTGTAGGATTTATAAAAATTAAGGGAAGATTTTTACGATTTTTAGGTTTTTTGTTTTGTTTAGAGTCTTTGGAATTTTTAAAATTTTTGTCATGTTAAAAGTTCATGCGTTTTTTACAAATTATAGAATCTTTGAAATATTTGTAACAGAATTTATATAGAGTATTTAGAATCTTAGAGTTTTCAGAGTCCTTAGAGTTTTAACAATTTTTGGAAATCGGTATACTTCAGAATTACTAGAAATTTTATAAAGTTTATAATTTTTATAATTTCTAGGAACATTAATACTTCCAAGATCTTTACGATTTTTAAGATTTTGTTGGATGTTTCTTCTATTTAGGACCTAAAACTTTAGTTTATTTAGCATCTTTGTTGACTTTACAATTCGGAAATTCTAGTGTATGAAAACTTCAAGATTTTTAGAATGTGTCGAGTCTTTAGAAATTTTAAAAGGTTTGAAACCTTTCAAATATTTCAAACATTTGGAAAATTTGGAATTTTTTGAATACCTATAATTTTAAGATTTTGTAAACTTTTGAAATTTTGAGATTTAATATTTTTTGTTTTCTTTTAATTTTTGGGAATCTTCGTATTTGCAAAATTTTCAAAATTTCTAGCATGTTGAGGCTTTCCACATTTTTTTCATTTTCCAAAGTACACAAAATGATATGAATTTCCACATTTTCCAAAATTTCTAAAATTATCAGGTTCCAGTTATACCAGAATTTGAAAATTCAATCTTTTCCAGTATTTTCAAGATTTCTAGGTCTACCACATTTTCCCCACTCTTTCTAAACTTTTTAAGATTTTCTAAAATTATAGATCTCAAGAGTCTTTGGAATTTTTGGCATCTCTGGAATCTCTACATTCTCCAAGATTTATGAGATGATAATTAGGGTGTTCAAGGTCTTCAGTGCTTTTAGGATTTATAAAAATTAAAGAAAGCATTTTTCTGATCTTTACGATTTTTAGGTCTTCAGATTTTTGTTTTCTTTAAAGTCTTTGGAATTTTTAAAATCTTTGGCATTTTAAGAGTTCATGGGATTTTTACAAGTTTTAGAATCTTTGGCTTTGGGAATTTCTCTAGAACCTTTAGAATCTTTCAAGTATTCGAAACATAATTTTAGCTTTTGACTCCTTAGGGTCCTTAGAGTCTTTAGACCCCCAGAGCCCTTAAAATTTCTAGTTTTTAGACTCTTTAGAGTCTTTCCAATCTATGGAAATTTTGAACACTGAGAATTACTAGGAGTTTTATGAAACCTAAAATTTCTGCCTGGGATCATTAGTACCCCCGAGTTTTTAAACATTTTTAAGATTTTGTTGGATCTTTTTTATATTTAGAACATTAGAACTTTAGTTTCTTTAGAATCTTAAGTGTTCGCAATTTCTAGGGTATGTAATCCGTGAAAGCTTTTATACTTTCTGAATCTTTCAAACCACTGGAAATTGTGGAATTTTTAGAATCTCTAGAATTTAGAACCAATAGAATTTCTATAACCTTTAGAGTTTTTAGATTTTCATTATTTCTAGATACTTCAGTATTTCTAGAATTTTAAATATTTTTAGATCTTTAGTATTTTTATCATCTTTCCAATTTTTAAATATTTGGAATTTGTGGAATCTTCGGGATTTTTGAAATCCCTGAAATCCTTTTAGAATTGTTAAATTGCCGTCTTCTCTAGCGTTTTTTAATTTTTTGAAATTCCTGAAATTCTTATGGTTCTTTCTTAGAGTTTTTGGCATCTTTGACAGCCTTAAAACCTTTGAAAGGGTTAGAATATTTGGGACTTTCACAACATTTGGAATTTTTCCACAAATTCGGTCAGAATTTTAGAATTTCTGTAATTTCTAGAATTAACATTGTGCATATTTTTAGATGACGACATCGATTTTTGTCAGACAAATTTTGGTTAGAGTTTTACCATCTACACAATATTCCTTAAAAAATTTGGATAGGATCATCAATTTGTTCGGAGGGGTATACGAATAAATTTTGCTTCACGATTTACCATGATTACGATAACGTTAAGATATTTACAAGATTTCAGAGCAATCGGTTTTACAGTTTCAAAGTTATACTGCACAATATTGTTATTTAGTTTTGAATTTTTTACAAAAATTCTGGATGTCTAGGGTAAAAATTCGAGAACGATTCACACATCATAAGTGCAGGCGTATCTTATTTTGTAAAATAAAAAAAAAAAATTATTATAAATTTTGGAAATGACGTCATTTTGTCGGTCGTGGGGATCATTAGCCAAATTTTGGTTAGTGTTTAACCGTCTACATGATATTCCTAATATACATACAAAAAATGACAACAATCGGTCCAGTAGGTGCGGAGATTACTTGTCTAATAAAAATGGATACAGACACTAGACAGACAGACAGATAGAAACTTTACTAACTTTAACTTTAACAAGCCTCTGTAGATCCAGATTTAAAATTTTTGAAAGGAGTCTTGGTTCACATTTGCGCTTGTATCGATGTTAAGATTTTTAAAAAGTTGAGTAGTCAGTTCTAAAATAATATTATGTCATAAATACAAGTTTCAAATCTTTGAGACATGTTACCATTTTAAATTGCTAAAATTAACTATCTGTATTTACTCGCAGAAGTTTGCCCACCAATAATTAGCACACCAATTATGCGAGTCACATGTACCTACAACGGCAAAGAAAGAGAAAATTGTACTGAAGCTGTGGATGGCACCAGCGCCAAGATTCAGTGTGCCGACTTTTACGAAGACTTGCAGTTGGAAAATGAACCCGATCACATCTGCTTTGATGGGACGTGGAGTCGGCCTCATCCTCAGTGTGTGCCAGGTTAGCATATATTGTACAATATCATAGAACTTACAATTTGTTACAGCATGCGGGCTATGGCCAACCAGAAATTTCGCTCAGTCTTCCGATAGCAACAAATATTACCCCTGGCATGTGTTTATCTATGCCTATAACAAAGAACAACGTAACAATCAACTTATTTGTAGTGGATCTCTAATAAGCGAAACAATGATACTTTCAGGCAAGACTCGAATTCCTGGTGGAAAACTTTCATGACTTGAAAAATTGTAGCTCTAATTTGTTTCCGTGATCCCAAAAGTGACTTCCACTTCCAGAAAAATTACACCGTAGCTGCTGGAAAAAGTTACAAAGTGTTCAACGACGTCAGAGACACTGAGGCCCAGTTTTCTGAAGTAAATTTAACCTTGCTGAGATTAATATATCGTGGTTTTATTATAATTAAATATTGAGGATGTAGTTTTTAATTTCAGGTGATTAAAATGTATCTATTTAGGAACTTTAGTCCCCTTGGACTTGGTGGTGCCGCTTTTTTGGTAATAGAAAAGCCGTTTGTGCTGTCGCGGAATGTTCTGCCGATATGTTTCGACGAGTACCAAGATCACAACCCAATAGAGAATCAAACTCTTTATGTAAGTACTTCAATTTGTCAGCTATGGAAGAACTAAACGACTTTGTAGATCAGCAGTTGGAATTTTCAGAATCGCAATTCTATCGATACTTCGAACGAACAACCAACCCGTTTTCTTTCTCATTCTACGTGCCGAAGTTGCACCAAAATACTTTTTCATCCGTTTTTAACAAAACACAGGTCTTGCGTGTCGTGTTCAAACAGTGGTAATTAAAGAAGGAATTTTTAAGGTGTTAGCAATGCAGGAACAAAATTGTTTTGCAGGTGACAAGTGCCGTTACGAAATTGGTAGCAGTTTTGCGTACAAGTACAAAAACAGGTACTATGTTTCTGGTGTTGCTGATAGTTTGGCTGGAAAACACCTTACAGGAATACACAAGTGTAGAACGGAGTTTATCACGTTTTACTTTGATGTTTCGAATTATATGAGAAATTTAACAAAGTTTCCCAAAAGTAAATCATACTATGGAGGAAACTAACAATGAAATAAATACATTTCCTTATCAGAAAGTGATTTCATCGTCCTTAGATAATCCTATTTCGTACTCCAAGAACACTCAAAATCATTAATCAAAAACTCCTGTATCTTATATCATTTTGTTATTTTTATAAACATTTAAAAAGTTGAGATTTATTTCCACAGAACTTCCCTCGCTTCTGAAGTAGTACAAATCCAACAAATTCCGTTTCTTTAAAAAATTATAAAATTTAATTTTGCTATGTTTATTTTGTGATAACCTCTATAAAATAACAACCACCCCAGCCCCAAACAAACTGGAAAAAATGGCCTCTCAGCAATAATCGCATGCTTAACTTCGTGTGTTTATGTTTATATTATACAAACAGATAGACAAACGAACCGACGGGAGACCACTTTTTCGTAATCTACGTAGTGACTGGAACAATTATTCATTATTCGATTCGTAGAGAAAAACAAAACAATATTTTTGAGTATTTGGGTTAAAAGTAATTGCATGCAGTCATTGTAAAAGTGACTGAATTACTCAAAAAAATAATAATTTGTTACAATTACTTCTTGACAACTTGTGGGGATAATGAATTACTTGTAATTGAATTATTTCCAACCACTGAATCTAGGGGTCAACGTAAAACTGGCAAGCTGATATAGGGACTCGATTACTACACTTTCTTAGCTTAATCTAATAAAATACAATTTGAGTGTAAAATTTTAACAACAACTATAAAATGGAGCCCTCAACACGTCCTGTCAGAGTGGGTGAAAGACTTTTATATTCCACATTTGGGACGTCCTGTACTTAGTAATAAGGGTTTATTTTCCTATTTTGTCCAAAAGTTCAACATGCACTTCATTCTTTAATGTATAGTTTATGACAAACGGAGCAAAGAGGTTTGATAACATTCATGTTTTCTAAGTATATATACTTTATCTAATAACTAGTTAATCAAAATCGGAAATGAGGAAATCGTGACAGTTTTTAGAAACTAATCATTTTAGGTATCTCGTAGTAAAAACAAAATAAATAAATGAGCTTACATTTCATTTATCAATTTATAATAAAATGCGTTTTATTATTATTTTGATAGCGCGAACTGTTTCGTTTATGCGTATTCAAACCTAATTTTTGTTACAATAAACATTTCCCCTTCTAGTAAAGATTTTCATCGTACCGGAACACCACCACTTGCTCCCCCACAACTTGTCACACAATATCTACATAGTAACGCATTACTTCTAATCTCCGTAGAAAGATCAATGTAATAAATATTTTGATATTCTACGCATTTGCTTTCAAATGTGGAGATTTAAAAATAAATTCGGACCAAGAAGATAGCAAAAATAATATTCATACTAAGAGCGTGACCTCCTCTAGAAGTCATCAGTTCGATTTAAAAATTCTATTGTCTTATATCAATATTTATTTTTCCTTATACGTTGAATATGCTTCAAAATTGGTGGACGAACTACCATATAAAATGACGACCTGTAGACTCCTACAGTTTGTAGCGAAATTTATAACATTACATATTTTAAGTAAGTATGTGAATGTGTATGGAGATTTTATAATCTGTTTGTTCTCGCTTTTCTTCTTTATTTCATGTCAAATTTGACCTTTTAGTGAGTCATTCTTCTTGGGGCGCGTATGATCATAGTAACTACACTAGACTACCACGCAGTATCAGGTAATATTACGTTATAAAATTATCTCCATGAGGAATCCAACATTTTTTTGATCAGCTGCGCTCTTCCACAACACCCACAATTCGGTAATTGGACCATCTACAATTCCCGTGTCCCGTTCCCTCCTGGGACGTTGGTACCAATACAAACAGTCTTAGAAATAAGGTGCCAGAAGGATTTCAGGGTAGACAATGAAGGCATCGCTACTTGTATCCGGGGGACATGGACACCCAAAATTGGACAGTGCTTACGTAACAATTTTCTTCATTTGAAAATTTTTATTGAAAAAATTTTGCAGGGACTTGCCCCACGATAAACAGCACTTTGGCAATGAAAGTGACTTGCAGCCGTAACAACCAAACACTAGAATCTTGTGCTAACGTTTTTGATAGCACAGTTGCCTACTTTCAATGTGCTGACTATTTCGAGTTCCAGACTTCGGACGAAGAACAAACACTTTGGTGCTCTAACGGAAAATGGGCTGGGAGTTTACCCAGGTGCATACCCAGTAAGTTTTGAAATGTTATACCGTTGGTATAATTTTTGGTTTGGTTGAATTTACGTAGTTGATGAGAAGATTACTTAGAACTTTTTATTTAACTTTTGATCTTCACATTTCCGACTTATGCTCTTCGGTGTTCCACTAGATCTCTATAACCTGGTACTCTTTATGTGTTGTTGTTATTTGTTCCAGCAGACGCTTTTCAACACAAAAGAATGGATTGGTACATTGTTTGCTTTATTTTTAGTTTGCGGCCAACCATCGCCTACAGCAGATCCTACATCAATTATTGGAGGAGAGAAAGCAGAAAGAGGTGAATACCCATGGCAGGTCGCTTTATATGACGCTAAGAGCAAAAATTTACTTTGTGGTGGAACCCTATTAAATCAAAGGGTCGTCTTAACAGGTAAACTGTACTAAAGAAGAAATTAGATTAAACACTTCATTAAAACATTTGCAGCTGCACATTGCATAACAGACGGTAGAGCTCACCTTCAACCAAAAGAGAAATATATAATAGCAGTTGGAAAATATTTTCGCCAGTATAATCATTCCGGTGATGCCGACAGCACACAGTTTTCTTCTGTAGGTTGCTATGATTCCAAAACTGTGACTCCTGTTTTTAATTTTTAGATACTTGAAATGTTTATTCGGTATCAGTACAGAGGACACGCTCGACATTATGCTGGAGACATTGCTCTTGTAGTTACGAGTAAAATCTTTAATCTGACTATCAACGTTAGACCCATATGTGTTATATGGCAGACGACACGTTATAAAGAGCTATTAGATCCTACTAAAACGACGCGTGCTTATGTAATCATGATTTAGTCAAAAATCTGTTTTGGTATTTCAATTTCTTGTAGGTCAGCGGTTGGGGTTTCATTCGAGAGTTCACAAATAATTCTGTTGTTCTTAAGAACTTAGAAGTTCCCCTCATTAGCGATCAAATGTGCATTGAGCAATTACCCGAGGAAGATATTGAATATGTGACTGACGATAAGTTCTGTGCTGGCTTTTTAAATTCTAGTAATTTTTTTATTTTTTAAAATCTTTGCAAAACACCCAAATTTCAGGTACTTCTATATGCAAAGGTGACAGTGGCGGGGGCCTGGTAATAAAACGAGACAAACGTTACTACATCATCGGAATTGTGAGTGTTTCACCTCGAGGAGGTACACAACATGGTGGCTGCAACAGCCAACTGTACACTCTTTACACTAAATTTTCCTCGTACATTGAAGACTTTGTAATGGAAAAAGAAGTAAAATTTAGGCCGTAAGTTCTAAAATTTTAGTTACCCTCAAGCTTTTAATTCGTTTTTCCAAATACAAACGTAGTCGTTTTGACTGTCAACTTATTTCTGACTGTAACAACATTGTACTGAGTACAGTGTCGCCATCAACAACAAGAGTGATAGTTACAAATTCGTCTTACGGGTAAAATATACTTCCTGTTCAATTTGACAGTTCTAGGAATTTTGTTTAAGTGGTGGCTGTATTTTACCGAATCCTCCAGAATTTGGCAAATTGCTCGTTAATGGATCAGAAAGACTTCAACCTGGAATGTCAGTAGCAACAGAAACCCGTCTAAACGTACAATGCGACAAACATTTTAAATTTGATGGTAGACGGGTAATAATTTGTAAGGACGGAAAGTGATCGCGGGATGTTGGACAATGTCTGAGTATGTACTTTTCCTATGGTGTTATTATAGTGTAGTTAAAATTATTTGTTTACAATACGTTACGTCTCCTTGATCAAGTCAACCTAAGTAATTGGGGTCTTTCTTCAAATTTGAATTTGTTTTGTTATTTTATTTCAGTGTTAATATTTTTAAAAAGTTGAACAATTCATTCTAAGATGTTATATTATACAGAGTCCTCTGATAATTAAAGGAACAATGTCTTCATACGAAAAATTTCCCATATACAAGGTGACTGCGAAATCCATGCAAAAAAAAATGGGGAAGAGCTCACAATACGATTATGTCACTGCGTAAAATTTACGGGCCTAAGTGGTAGTAGTGTCTAGAAAAAATTATTTGAAATTAAATATAAATTGTTATACGCACCGCTGGTAATGTTTCGTGGCCTACATGATGACTACAATGAATAGGGCAGAGCGACTCGGATTAAGAATCAAAAAAGTGACGTTATCAGGCACTTTTTTGATTGCAACGTGAAAAACACGAAAAGGGCCAGTCAACATAGAGCAGTCAGTGAAATCGGTGTATGGTGCAGTTTTCCAATGCACAGTGTGTCGTTATGGTAATGGGTGTGCGCGAACATTTGCATCAGTGGTACAGCATCTGCGAAGTCATGGTACCTTCAACCTCAAATTCACTATCGTGGCCGTGACAGGACAGAAAGATGAAGTTGGAGTTTCACAGGACAAAATGCAAGGTTTGAAGGCCGCTGATTGTCCACGTGTAATTTATTGCAAATGGTTGTTACCGCAGTGTCGTGAACGCCCTGACTTTTTCAAGTCCATTCTGTTTACGGATGAATCACTCACTTTTTGTCCGATGAAACTCCATATGCTCGTCAATAAGTACGATTTCAAGAGACGGTTTTCGATAAATGTGTATCGGTTGGATGAAGCAGTTAGTTTATGGAAATTACAGTGTCCAGAAATTATTGAAGAGCTTCAACAACAAGTGAAATTGGCAGCCGCTACTCCGGTGATTTTTAACTATTAACAAACATCTTGTCTCTAGTCAAGGACAACCTTTTTGAACATTTCTTGTAAAAAGGTAGTAGCGTTCTAAAGTTGCTCTTATTTTTGTTCCACTAAAGAATGTAAAATCGTTATGGCAAGGACCCAAACATCCGTCAGAATCAAAAATCGATCAGCATGAAGCATTACCAAAAAACTTTCGCACTGACCTTTACCGATAAATGAATCCATGATAA